TAAGGTCAGGTCACAAGAGGGCAAGCAGAAAAATGTCATCGACTGAGCGTGGTTAGTGTCAGCGTTGAACAGGGATTTACACAACGATCATAATCCGGTTTCAACCGCAATACGAGTGAGAGTTTGTGTCGACTTCCTACCGAGTCCAACCATCCGTTGGTCAGTCTATATTCGTATTTGTCCACCTATAGAGACTTCTCTTTACTTTAGAAAAATCTCTCTCTCTTTCTCTCTCTCTTTCTCTCTGTATATATATATATATATATATATATATATATATATATAGAGAGAGAGAGAGAGAGACACAGAGACAGAGACAGAGGGGGGGAATGGATTAAATCCGACAGATTTTTTAATTTATTTGTTTAAACGTTATTTTTTAAATGGATACTCTGTTTTTTAATATATTTATTAAACAGTACATTTATTTATATCTACCGGCCTGAATATTCAAGAAATCTTGTTAGGTGGGTAAATATTTTTCTAACAAGATTTCTCGAATATTCAGGGTCGTTAAATATATATATATACCGATATATATATATATATATATATATATATATATATATATATATATATACGATTAAAAAAATAAATAAATAAAAACAGAGCATCTACTCAAATATGAGCATCCATTTAAAAAATAACGTGTAAACAAATATATATATATATATATATATATATATATATATATATATATATATGTATGTATTAGGGACCTCAAAAACGCGATATCTAATGTTTAAAATGAATTTCGAATCATGAAAAACTTTTCTTGAAGCTTTTATTTTATTTTAAATTTCAAGCAAATAAATTAAATATTTCCAATAAGCAAAATACGTTACCCTATTTAAAAAAATTAAAATTGATTGATTTTAGTCATATCTACAAATATCTCAGCACAGTGTAAGTCTCTTTAATAAACATCATTCGAACTAAAATATATTTTTCTGAAACAATACTTGAGGAAGAATACCTGGTGTTTTTATTAGCTGTTGAAATCTATCTGGATAGATATATGATTGGATTTTTTCTAAATATCTGTAAAAATTACTTGACGAATAATGTCAAATTGCCTTTTTTACATTATTTTTTTACCATACCGTAATTTTAAAAGTTTAGGAAAATATTCTAAGTAATCAAGCATTTAATTGCATCTTTAGTACTTTGGCTATAAATTTACTATAGTTAAGTTACCGCCTTTATTTTCTGATAATATTGTGTATAAATATTTGTATTTACAAAAGATCGGCACTTTTTGTATAAAAATGTACTGGGAGTTGTTGAATTGTATTGAGTTTTCCATTCATTATTTATAAATATAGTTTTACTTTATTTAATATCACCAATGGCTATAAATTAATACTCAATTTTGAAAGATTTAAAAACTTATAAATTATTCTAATTAAAAATTTTAAAAAGGAAAACTATTCTGTTAAAAATTCATTATTTATCGAAAAAGGCTTTTTCTTAAGACAATATTGTCCATAGTATACTTTATTCATAAAGGCAATTAAAGGCTTTTCTAATTAAATAATGTCTTAGTTTTACTGCATTTTTTATTTTACGGTTTAGAGCGGATTTTCAGTAAGTGGGGGTCCTGTTTGACCAAAAAAGATAAATGATGATTTAAATATTCCAAGGTGTTAAATGTATAACCAATATAGACATTAAACAGTACAAAAATGAATTTCTCAATATTTCAAAATATTAAATAATTGTGTATGGGGTAACAGATGTAAAAAAAATGTTTTTACCCAGATCTTCTAAAAAAGAATATTTCTAAAATAATTTTATACATTTGTGAATAAATCATGAAAGTTTCATTAAAATCCGGCGATTATTTGATTACTGCAAGAATTTCCAAATCCACGCGTTTCTCACTGACAAAAATCGAAGACTTTGCCGAAAAGCGGTAGGAGACTGATAGGACGGTTGTTAAAAGGGTCAGAATGTTCACCAGAGTTCTTAAAAACAAGGGCTTTTTACAGACGAGGATTTCCAACAAACTGGAAATCAGGAAGCATTGAGACAATAGTTTGGATAAAACTGGGGAAGCACAGAAGCACAATTCTTTTGGAGAACGGCTGATATTCCATCAGCGCCACTTGCCTTATGGAGGTCTAATTTAGGAATAATATCCGAAACCAGCGACAGTGTTATGCACATACATCTCTGTAGACCATCAGTTATAGGGGGAGAAATCGGGTATGGGTACTCCAGAAACAAGACCAGTGCGCTCACAGTCTCGGTCAGGATGACTTTTGACTTCGTGCTAGCGCCACCATAGACGAAAAACTTCGGCTACCCAGTTGCTCTCACAAATCTTGGGTCAACCTGTGGAATGTTTTTTAAACACTGTCCAAAGGTGTCGCAGAATTCAAAATAGGTCATGGTTAGATTCGAACCCATCAACGTTCTAACCACTCGGCCACGCACCCTACCCTTTCTCTCTCTCACTATATATATATATATATGTATGTATGTGTGTGTGTGTGTGTGTGTGTGTGTGTGTGCGTGTGCGTACAGGTAAAAATCCGTGGCTAAGTAATCCAAGTGAATCTTAATATAAAATATTAAAACTGATCAATAAAAGATAGATCAATATATAAATGAGTTACATAAAAATGAAACTCAACTGTACTACATTTATATGGCCATTTCGCTCCTCGTGAGATTTATCTCTTAAAGACATTTCCTGGGGTATAAAAAGTTTGATAAAAAGAAATGTTTTAGTATTGACAAGCTCCATGGAATTTCTCTAAGAGAGAAATCGCTCGAGGAGCGAAATGTCCATATAAATAGGGTACAACTGTTTTTCATTTTTATGTAATTCATATATATATATATATATATGTGTGTGTTTGTATGTGTGTGTGTGTGTGCGTTACTGTTTTTTTAATACCTATGGGTTTATTGGTTATTCCTTTTTCCTTGTTATAAGAGTCGGAATAAAAACGCAGGGATTTTTTTCAAGTAGTTTAAGAGGCTTCTCTCTGCATCTGATTGTGAATAAATGATGGAAGATAATCTTTGAGAAAAGAAGAAAAGACATTCATCAAAACTGAGTGGCCCAGGCAGCTGCAGAGGGTACCTGCCGAACAAAGGGGTTCTCTTTTTTGGGGATTTCGATATTGATTTCTGCATGCATATGATAAACAGAAAAACTCGTAATAATATTTAAAAGCAAATTTGGTTTAATAGATAGATAGATAGATAGATAGATAGATAGATAGATAGATAGATAGATAGATAGATAGATAGATAGATCATGTAAGAAAAAAGTAATTAAGTATAAATGGTATATCATTAGAAACAAAACACATAGCATCTTGTTAATGCATGTATGTATATTAATAATAATACTAAAAATATTATTCTGAAAGGATGCAGCAACATTGGAGATGAATGTCTCAGACATGCTCAGATCAAGCGGGGTCTCCAAAAAGGCACTTACTCTGATTTACCAACTAATATGCAGACTTGTAAATATGTATATGTGTGTGTGTGTGTGTGTGTGTGTGTGTGTGTGTGTAACAGTTTGATAGGTCATCATAACAATCAGAAGCAAGCTATCCTACGTCATCCTGTCTCATCATCCTGTCTCATCATCCTATCGACAATACCTGAGTCGTTTGTAACAAAGTTGGCATTCATTATCTGGACTGAAGAGGCACCTGGTGACACACAGGAGAGTTGTAAGGCATGCAGATCTAATCAACCCAATCAAAGATACAGAGTTTATCTGTCGTATATTCTTTATACCTATGAAGTCGAATGTTCGTCTCAAGAGTCATTTTAGGGGCCATGGACACTGAAATGAGACGGAAGCCGTAAGAAATTTTGCGTGGTGTACGGGTCCCATCTGAGTCAGATGTGGCAATCACCATCAGTTATATTAAAAACAATAAGCAAGGAATATTTGCCAAGACTTTCATAAGATTCTTCTATTTGGGCAACTTTCGACAACAATAAAAATATTATTATTATCAAGGTCACAGATAGGTCACATAAATTTTCACTGGAAAAACTGTTACTTCTCCGAGCAAAGTGGGATACATAAATATTTAACACAAATCCCTTCTGGCCATTCTAATGCGCGTTAGAATCCTGACAAGGCAACAACATTCTGCCATATATATATATATATATATATATATATATATATATATATATATATATATATATATATATATATGGTGAGTAACTTGACTACTAAAGTTTTGAAGAGTACAGGAATAGATTGATTATTTTGGTTTAAAAAGACTCCTGCATATTGATTTTCTAGTAAACCAATACGGTGCTAAGATTGCTTGGGATTGAAATCGTTAAATGAATGTTTTGGATTAAGAGTTAAAATATGTGAAAGTGATGTTCTTTGTCAGCTTTGCCACAAAGTAACGACTTTATTTTTGCTTTAGTCTCTTCAGTAATCTTGAAACGAAAGGATTAATAACGGGTATTTAATCCCTGACAGAATCTGTGACACCCTCAGATAATCGGAAAGACTTCTTGGACGTTAGCTATTTATCCAATGGAACGTTTGTTGGTGAATCATTATGATGTGAATGTTGTCAAGATTTCGTTATTCCTGGTGTTTCAATCGGATATAGGTTGAGAGAAATGATTGAATCGTTGGAGACGACCGAATATATCTCCTTCGTGGATCAATATTCTTTTAACCTGAATATTTTATCTGGCGAATCTCCTGCGATTCGATAATCTAGATAGTGTATAAAAAGATGAATTTTCACAATCACAAGAATAGTATCTAGCGGGTTTCTATAAACATCAAGTGACAGCATGCCTCCTTATTACTTCAGCGCACTTCTAGGTACGCTAATTCTAATCCTACTGAATGAATGAATTAATATCTTCTTTCATGTGGAACTGGACGATAATGACTCTCCACAACCTCCTGTTTTTAACCTAAATAACTTTTTGCTCATTACCATCCATCTTTGTCCTTGTTCTCTCATCTATTTACACACTGGTTGGGCTTACGGTTATATCACGTTGAAACATCGGTTCCTGTATAATCACCGAAGTTAAGCAACGTCTAGCCTGGTCAGTACCGAGATGAGTGACCACTTGGAAATACCACGTGCTGTAAGATTGTGTGGGTGGTATAATGAGTAATGGCATGGAATTGTTAATAGGAGATCCGGGATCCAATTTCCGTTGGCATTTGTTTACGCGCAAGTACCCTTGGGAAAGGTATGAATATACCACTTCTGCCCCAGCTACAGGTTAATTAGTAAGACTTGGATCATCAAATCTTTATTATCTCCCAAAAGTCTTTACAATCGAAAATATCTTCTGGTTTTAAGTAATCTGCAAAGGGTTGATAAGCCGTAAAAACGAATCAATCAATCAACAATTTGGCGTACGTGTTGTTTCCCCTGCTTTTCTTAATTGTGAGTGTTATACTCTTCAGTCTCTCTGTCCTCATTATATTTCCGAGAAATTTCACCTGATTGGAATTATAAATTCCTTGTAGTTCATGTTTTCTTTAAAACTTTCTCGGTGGTCACATGATATTCTTATCGTTCATTGGTAGAACCACATCTCAAAAGCTTCAAGGTTCTTCATCTATGAAGAGATTTTCCAAATATTTGATAATATTTCAACACACTTTTCTTTGTTTCTAAAACGTAATTTTCCTTTCTCTTAATACTTTTCTTAGTTTCTGAAAGATACTGCTACTGTTTCTGTGCACCTTTGGATTTCTATGCAACATTTTTCATCATCTGTTACTGTTAAATAACAGATGACTAGCAGACTATTAATTTTTTAAAGAATTGAATTCTCCTCTGACTTCCTCATTTTGACCTTTGAGATCAGATACAGAAAACAGAGGGAGTTGTTTTTGGTTGGTTAAAACTAGCGTGGGAATGTTAGAGTTAAAAACTTTAACATAAGTTTCAGAGTTAGAAAGTCATTTCTGCGAGTTACGTTTTTACACGTCATACACAGTAGAGGTAGTTATTTCGTATCTCGGGGAACATTCTCCCAGTGGGGGTGACAGAGCGACCCCACTGACTAATTTAAAATGTACACGTCGACGTGTTTAATAAAATAGATAAGTTTAACATCCCTTTGGTTGAAGTTCTCTTTCATCTCAGGACTCCAAGAAACATTTCGACACCCGGCCGGGAGAAGACGAGCGAGAGAAGATACAACGTTATGAAATCGACCCCGTCAACCAAAAGACCTCTCCCCCAGAACGAGGGGGCTATGCAACACCGGATATAGTGTATCGTCATACTCAGGACTACATCGTTTTGAAGTCAGAGTACCCTTTCTCCTATACTAGCTGTCAGTCGAGGCTGAAGAGCCTAGCTTACTCTGCTGTTTAACCCGTAACTGGATGCAGAAGGACTTTAGAAAGAAAGTGGACGCAACAGGATAAACCTGGATTTGAACTCGACACGCTAATTTCATTTTAAATGCATCATCAAATGACAATAGCACCAGTGGAAGCGCGATTTGATTGACAGCTGAGGGAGTTGAATGATTCTCAATTGTACTAATATCTTATGAATGAGATCAAGTAATAAAAAAACAAAACAAAACAAGGCGGTGAATGTCGATTGTCAAATTAGGCGTGTCCGACTATTTTGTAAGACTAATGAATGGCAATATTCATGTCCTCACTTAGATAGAAATTGATTTCAGGGAGTTAAGTATTTCGTGTCTCGGGGAAATTGCTCCCCAGTGGGGGTGATAGAGCGACCCCACTGGCTAATTAAAAATGTACACGTCGACGTGTTTAATAAAATAGATAGCTTTAAAATCCTTTTTGTTGAAGTTCTCTTTTATCTCCGGAATCCAAAAACATTTCGACACCCAGTCAGGAGAAGACGTGCGAGAGAAGACACAACGTTATGGAATCGAAGCCCCTCAGTCAAAAGACCTCTCCCAGAATGAGAGGGACTCTACAACATTACTACACTCCTAACATGATTCCATTTCGGCAACTGCTTGATTTTCACGTTGCCAATTCGTAGATGAAAACATAGGCCTTCTCTTTTGCCAACAAATATGTAGGATGTCCAATAGTTAGTCCTTTCTTCTAGTTTTTTTTTTTTTAGTAACTTAATGTAACTGCACTTTCAATTTCCTTTTCTTTCATAGATTTCCAATTAATTATTTTTTTCAAAGCTCTTCATGGTTGTTTGTAGCGCTCTTGTAATGATAGGTAAAATCTTCACCTGAAGCATATGTCTAAATTATTTTTCTGTTTCCTGTTTGCGAGACTCTCTCTGAATATTCAATTTCAATAAAAATTTAACTTTTTTCTGTTCTAGGAAACTATTCCCTTTTAAGCCTCTTTTATGCTTTTCATCAGTATGGTTGATGGAGTAATTCGATGTTCCTTCTCATCCTAACGTTTTCCCACTGCATTTGGATAGTTTTAGATATAATTTAGATTAACAAGCCATATCTTGTTCCAGTTAACATCAGATTAAAGATCATTTTCGGGAGTAGCTGCCAATCTGGCTGTATTGAACCTGTCAGACTCGACATTAAAGTGGAAGTAAATATCTGTTGGTTAAACTGGAAAATTCATCTTCTTTTTTATTCAAGTAATTTCAACCGTCTCAGTTATTATCAAGAACTGGGTGTTGTCAGTGTGACACAAGATCTTGTTGGCTAAAATCCTGTCAATCCAAATGAGTTCAGTCGTTCGAACTATTTCCCGATAGATTAAATCAAGTAACCAAAATAAAAAAAAGAAGACAGACCTTATGTTTCATAACGGTCTAAGTTGTGACTAGTATTTAATTCACCTTAATATTTCAGTTCGTGTAGCTCAGTCGGTTAGAGCAGCAAACAGAGGGAACTTTTTTCCTCGTGCCACGTACCTTCAGGACACAGGCGATCATTTCATGTGGCTCACAGCAGCTTTTCTCCCTATGCTAAGGTTCTCACCATCCATTCGCGAAAGCTCGTCAGATACGTGGCTAGCTGTCCTCCTTTATTGCTCTTGCCCTCAATATGCTCTTTGAGAGTTACATTTTCCAAGCCCTCCTACCTCATTATGTGTCCAAGGAGTTTCAGCTGACTTTTCCTGATTTTGAGTATAAGTGTTTTTCTGTTACGATTTTCTTTCAGACGTCCTTGTTCCTTTCTCGTTCCGTCCATGGAATTTGCAGTATCCTTTTGTAGGACTACATCCGAAGTAAAATCCGAGCCATTTTCGAGTGCTCACCGAGAGCTTATTTTGGATATATGATGCTTAAGGGAAGCCGCCGATGATTAATTAGTTGTGATGAGAGGCAACTTAAATTAAGTCGAAAGAAATGCGAATAACAATTATTAATGGATAAAAATACTTAATCTATATATAAAATTCTGTAACTTCCGTTAGTTCATCTGTCCGACCGTCCAACACACCATCTAAAATAGCCATATATTGAACGATCGAAGCTAAAATTTGTGGAGAACTGTAAACAGGTAAAGGGATACAAAATAAAGTTTTTATATATACAAGAATCCAGTTTCCAGTTCGCCCTGCGTTTGCGAGAACTACAAAGAAATGACAAGGCCAAACGCTTCAAAAAGTTGAAATTTGGCTCCAGAAATAAATATTTACGCAAGGTCACTTGTCTCTTTACATGCTCAAGAGTAAGAAATCCTATGCATTTATTCTTCGTTGTTAAAAGGAAAAAAGAAACTTTCTTAAAAAAAATATTGTGTGCCATGAAGTCCTATTGAATTAAATTAATTATTAAACAACGAAGTAGGGTTTTTCTCAAAGTATTTTCCAAACAAATCAGTTTACTTGAATTTTAACATTTGGTTTTGCGAAATTGAACGACACTTAGATTTTGTGAATCTCGACAAAACTTTAGCGATAACTTTAGCAATACTAAATAATGTGAGGATTTTAAGACGTTTCAGCGTTTTGCAAAAAAATCTGGTCTAATAAAATTTCAAATAATAATAGGAACAATTCTTCTTATATATGTACCGTAGACGATCATGGATCTCCACAACTTTCTGTCCCTTGTAGCTCGAAATAAAGTTCGTCTTTCTGTTATATCTCCTTCCGCCAGCCATTTTCGTCTTTCTGTTATAGCTCCTTCCGCCAGCCATTTTCGTCTTTCTGTTATAGCTCCTTCCGCCAGCCATTTTCGTCTTTCTGTTATATCTCCTTCCGCCAGCCATTTTCGTCTTTCTGTTATAGCTCCTTCCGCCAGCCATTTTCGTCTTTCTGTTATATCTCCTTCCGCCAGCCATTTTCGTCTTTCTGTTATATCTCCTTCCGCCAGCCATTTTCGTCTTTCTGTTATATCTCCTTCCCCCAGCCATTTTCGTCTTTCTGTTATATCTCCTTCCCCCAGCCATTAAGTATGTTATGTATTTTTGCCTCTGTCACTCTTTCTCTCTTGCTGCCAATTGAGTATCAATTTCCCATGCCTCCCAAAACCTTAACTGTTTCTACCTTATGCAAACTAATAGTTTCCTTTTTGTTTCCATTTCGTCGTTACTCACATGTTCAGTCCACGGTATCCCGAACATCCTTCTGTAGAACCACATTTCACTTCTTCATTATTCATTTAGTTTTGGATTTATGAGAAAGAGGTGACCAAGACAATTCTAATAAATAAAAATATTGGCTGAGTTGATCATGCTTATTCTTATATATTCTGCTACCAATTAACCCCTAAATGTATCATCCGAAGTTTAAGCGTTATATATATATATATATATATAATTTATGACATGATATTTTTTATTGAACCCAAAATATTTGAGCATCATTTTAGAAGAAAGAGCGATTTTTCTTACGTTGCACTAATTTCGCGAGGTCAATAGCAATGACAACATCTATAAGAAAGATAAATGTGGACTTTTAATAGGTGATAAAAAAAAACTGGAAAAAAACTTTCGCTTCCCACAGAGGATTTCATGTGTGTGTGTGTATGTGTGTGTGTGTGAGATATATATATATATATATATATATATATATATATATATATATATATATATATATATATATATATATATATATATATATATATATATATATATATATATATATATATATATATATATATATATATATATATATATATATATATATATATATATATATTTTTTAAT